ATAATTTATATACATATTTTATGTATATCTGTCTTTCTGTCTGAATGTTACGACTTCCGCCTATTCTACGCCGACCTAATCGCGGGCAGCAGCTAGTAAAAACATAAATACCTTAAATATCATGGGATTTCAACAAGCTAATAGATGGCGCCTAATATTATTTTTTGAAATCTGAGATCAATTTAAAGTTTTTAGTTTTTACATGAAAACCACAATACGAAACTATTTTTCATCATAAGCGAAGAATTAAATATAATTATCTACGTTTTTAGGATTAATTTTTATTTTTATTGTAGATAAATAAACAAAAACTTTTGGCGCTGCGGGATTCGAACCTGCGTCCTCTTACTATTCTCCCTGAAAATCAGAAGACGTAAGTTTTTGTTCATTCATCTACAAAAATTTACAATAGTACCTATTCGATAAGTACTATAATAATTAATAAACTGTTAAGAAAAAAAAAATACTTGGAAAATCTAAAAGAGCAAGACTCACAGGCGAAAATTACATGTGGAATACAAGAAAACAAATGGGTTGAAAATTAAAAAGATTTACAAAAAAAATAGTGACCATCAGAGAAATATCAGAGAAGTCGATGGACTTTCTTTAATAACTTTTAAACGGTTGTAAGTTCTATAAAATCAATAGAATAAACGGTAACTTATTTTGAAAAAAATATCTTGGTTCCTTTCATATATTTCTCTTAGAGTATAATATGTAACGAATACTCATTAAGAGTATAAAAACGCTATGCGTTGTTATGTTTGTCAAGAAATAAGTTCCCTAATTAACAAAACAAACGTGTGTGTATACGTGCACGTATGAAGTTGTACTTCTTTAGCATAACAAAAGAAAAACAACTAAAAAGTTTATCCTCTCCTGCCGGTACTCTTTGTACGCTGCGCTTCCCGCACACGGTCTCCACTCGAGCACCTTGCTCAATCTGCGATTCTTATTAGTTCTGCGAGCTATTTGCCCTGTCCATTTCCACTTCAACTTGCAGAGTCGATTGACTATGTCGGTAACTTTCGTTCGTCTGTGATTCTCCTCACTTCTCGTTCGAGCTCGCAGAAAAACACCGAACATAGCCGTGTCCATTGCCCGCTGAGCTCTTTGGGGAGCCGATAATTAGAGACATGATCGTATGTCACCACTGATAGCACGCATTGGTCAGACTTTTCTTTTTAGACTTTAAGGTATTCTAGTCGCAAAAACCGTAGCTTGCTGAACATTGCCCAACTGCGGGGGGTTCTAGGTGCGGGGAGCTGACGCTGAGGTGTCAATGACAAATGGCAAATATATATAATCTGAACAAAGAGACTTACGAATTTAACTAATTTGCATGTCCCTCTGTTTTTGCACCGAGATAAATATTATAAAATATCAGAGAGCAATTAATTGAACCATCAATAGATTAATTTATTTGTAAAACTGATGTGTAATGTATTGGTCAAAAACTGACATATATAAATAATAAATAAATATTTTTAGGACACATTTTTACACAACATTTTCTAGTCCCAAACTAAGCAACGCTTGTACTATGGGTACTAGAAAACTGATGATAAACATACTTAAACATACTTTTCTTTTGTAAATAAATACATATTATAGATATATAAACACCCAGACACTAGAAAAACACTATGTTCATCACACAATATTTTTCCAGTAGTGGGGATCGAACCCACACCCTCTGGCGCAGGAGGGCAGGTAAATTAACCACTACGCCATTCAGGTCGTCAAAATATATAACACATCAGTAATTGGATTGGATTAACATTAGGTGTTTAGTGGCATAAAAATATTTATTTTGATTGCATATGTTATTTTTAGTAGCCATTCAGTTCATAAAATATAAAAGAGAATCCGAATCGACGGACAAAATATTGACAAGCCTTTTCGTCTGTGATAAGGAAAACAAAATATTTTTAATCTGCTTTTAAATATTTTTTTATTAATATTATCATTTATGTTAAAATTGCTATTTGAAAATTATGCCTTTAGTATACATTTGTTTAATATAAATATTTGTGGCATAAAAATAATACTATAAAAGTGAAAACATTTTCATTTTTATCCGGCCATTTGAAACGTCAGAGCGTTAAAGAACCACGATTGTTTAGGCGCTTCAAGCGCTTTATTTTATCTTAGTTATATCCTAATCTAGTCCTTATTGTGATGCAGCAAAGTATATATTTGTCATACAGGCAGCGGATGTAAAGTTTTTTGACCGCTAGTAAGCGGAACGCGGCTGTAGCGTCAGATTGAATGGATCTTGTGTTCTGTTATTATTATACGCGAGTATAACCTTTTATTCCTACTTTTCGATTTTATTTTATCCAACAAACCCAGGAAACCGAGTTAAAATAGAACTTGTTGTGTGTTTTCGTGCCAATTTTTACGGTGCGTGTTGGTTTGCACGTTAAAAGGTGGGTTGTTAAGTCAAAACATCGTGATTTGTAGTTAACTTAATTATGAGTAAATGGTGTACTTGTGTGTAACTTTTCACTGGCATGTGCAGTTATTTCATGAGACGGCTCTAATTGTTTCGTTACTTTTATAAATTAATACGCCATTTTGTGATCGGCACTGTGTATTCGTAATGTTCTAGTGAAATTTGTAATTGTCTATTGCGTTTTACATATTTTTAATTCGTTGGGAGTGAACGTAAGTAATATAAATATTCCATTCATTTAAATAAACACTAAACTTAAACCGACGCTTCAAGCTTCAGTAAAATAATGAATAATTTGCCGATAGGCTATAGTGTTATTATAATTGCAGCTTTAAGGTTGTATTATTGGCAAGCAATTCACTAATACATGCACTACTGATTAATTTATTACTTTTAAATAAGCGATCAACAAAAATAATAAAAATTAACTTATGCACGATTTTCTCTCTCTAAGATAAAGTGTGGGAGTAAAATTTAATTTATCATTTATTTTGAAAAATTTAATATAATTTCAGTAAAAGCTGCTGTGAATTTGAGAGTCCAAAAAAACTATATTGTCTGTCATAACTTTATACCTTGTAATTATTTAGAGTACTCAATAGCTTAAGATTAGACTTGCATAATTATCAATAAAAGCTTGAAAATTTAATATAAACAAAACACTTTATTATTATGTTTAAACATATCCTAAAATTAGGATTTTTTCAAGGACTGGATTAATAAATAATAAAATCAAGGCCATGTTTGTTGAAAGTATGATTTATATGACAAAACAGGAATTGATCAGCATGACCATGTTCATCATTTAGATGTTATATGATTGTGGTAATATTTGTCAACTTATGATAAGTACAAGTAAACACACTAAAAGTAGTAGTGTAGTACACAAGTACATAACATATTCAGATTTTATACGACAATATAATTATGTAACGATCAATTGTATTTGTTCATCTCTCTCTTTATTTTGAACATGTATTGGGCATATCACTGTATAGCAAAGTGTTTGATATAAAACATACATATGTAATTGCGACTACTGAAACTCACATATTTTTTGGTTTCTCTGGCTCCGGAACCCCAACACAGTTAATGAAATAACAAGTTCAGAGAAGACCACTCAAGCCACTCTATTGATGCAATTGAATTACAAATATTCAATTTATTTATTGTATTTTAACCGTACAGACACATATTATTTATTTTATACAATATATATATTGTACATTAATATATTGTATATACAATAAATAATAAAAAATTTCTATCATATGATAATAAAGCCTAGAGAACATTATAAACTACAAAACTAATGTTATGTTTTAAAAATAATGTTTAAAGTCTAAATACAGGAAATTGTTTCCTTGTCTACTTTGAATTTGTAAAACACATCTTAAATGTAGAATATTTTAATGCACAGTAGGGCTACATGACATAAACATGCAGCTGATATTATGTTATTGAAATAATGTTATAAACAATGTTATTTTTCCAATGTAGATTCAAATCAATATGGCATTTCTCTGCAGCATCAGTGTACTTGAAATAACCAACTGTTAGAATGGTGAACTCTTCACCAGATCGTAAGAGGTAATAATCCCCATACTAAGAGTAAAGTCACTATAGTTGGGGTTGCTTTTGCATTGGCAATTTTTAAGAGCTATCCCCTAATTGTTAATTCTAGTTGGCCCAATTGTGTGGGAACATAAATTTCAGCATATACAGTGTGTCGTTACAATAAATGAACACACATATACAGGATGATTTTTAAAAAATTGTATTAAGTATTTACATTCTTTAAACATCAATATTTACCGAGTTATAAAATTTTACTAAACAAACATTTTTAGAACACCCTTACGTATAAAACTGCAATATAAGGTTCATTTCTACAGGTCACAAAGCATATGAATGGGTTAAATGAATTTAAAAGAGATAAAACATACTGTTTGAAGAAGAGATTTGTAATGCGACGTTGTGGCAATGAATGAAAAGTCTCTGAATGTATGAATCAGTCAGTTGTAGTTGTATAGGATGTTACAAATTTTGTTTCTTATTTACTTAATTAGTTTGTTTGAAAAATATTTTTTTAATTATGGATTTTTTTAACATTAATATTTTTTATGATTATTGGCAAGTAGCGTTAGCCATGTGTTCATTTATTGTCGCGGTGGTAAAGACACGCTGTATGAGTTATAAATAGAACGCCACTATAGTAAATGTTGTTTAAGCTGTGACAATAATTGTGAACAGTAGGACCTGAACACACTACAGTAAAATGCGTTAGGGCCTCGCAACAGCTTTTGCAGTTGGGTAGGTTTATCGGGGGAAGTACAATTGCGTCACATAGGACTTGTATAATGTGAACGTATTATAATTTCGCGTTTCGTCTGCATGACATCCATGCTCTGGTTACCCCTGTTTAAAACGCTGGCAACGCATGTGCAATGGTCCAGGTAGTATAGATGTCCAAGGGTAGTATAATGCTTGTCAACTTTTCATATAAAAAGTATCAGTGCGATAACCATCTTTATATTTTCAGATGTTCTGCATACAAGAGACCGAGCCGCCGCGCTCGGGCCCTTACTCCGGCGACAAGGATCCCCTGAGCGTCGTGGGCCACACGTCCTCCAGCGACGATGAACCAGCCGCCAAGCGGCCCAAGCCCTTCGGCAGCCCCTCGCTGAACCTGAAGGTGTACCAGATCCCCGCATACAGCCAGCCCTCGCCCCTCCCCTCGTACTCGCCCCCCGCGCGCCTCCCGAAGTTCGTGAACAACCCGCTGAACCTGGCCAACCCGCTCGCCTTCGCCAGTGGGCTCCAGGCCAGCAGCATGGTGAAGAACCTCCACTCCAGATACTCCCTGCCTGCGAAGCTCACAATCACCCCAGTGCACAGGCACGCCAACGGCGACATAGTGAGGTACAAGAAGAATGGCGAGATCGCTAAGAAGCGGGGACCACCGAAGGGCTACAAGCGGAAGCCGAAAGTGGACCTGTCGCAGAGCCTGAGCAATGGAGCCCTCTTGCAGGTGTGTGATCTGTTTTAATTTGTCCGCACTTTGGAATAGGTGAACTAATTGCATTTGGTGTTATGGGCTCATCTGGATATTGGACCCACTGTTGGTCAAGTCGAAATGAAAACCCAGATAAAATGATGACGACAGCAAACCCAGACAAAATGATGACGACAACAAACCCAGACAAAATGATGACGACAACAAACCCAGACAATTTTTTTTCTGAAGATAATTTATGTTAATCTTAGTCATTATATATATATATATAATTCATTTGTCATTATGAAGTTATTATGTTAATAAATCTGGACTTGTAATATCTGTAAATATAATGGATATTTACAGATATTACCAGTCCATCATTATTAAAAAGAAATGACGCGAACTTTTAGCATAAAATCTCAGTTTAAACTCTCCATAGGTCTTAAGGCAGATGGAGACCGCAGTCCATGACTCTCATCCACATTTAAAATAACTAGTTTTGGAGACGATTTATGAGGGATTAAACTTCTACTGACTTATTGCATTTACTGCCAATGTTTGCATCCCTTTTTTGAATAAGATGGTGGGTAAACTTTAGTCGGATTGGTGCTACATACAAAAGAGATATCACAAATGGTCCTCATATCATTGCAGGCACAAAACACTATCCTGACCAGCCTTCTAGCGGCCACTAGCAGTTCTCTCACGGGGGCGGGGACGTCACCGGCTCAGGTCGCCCAACCGCAGCCCCTGCCACAAGTCAAAATACCACCAGGTGAATAAATACATAATAGGTCCGCACTTGTTTAGTTTTTTTAATTACTTACCCGATTGGCGTAATAGATAGTGCACCTGTCTCTTGCGCCAGGGGGTGCAGATTCGATCCCCACAATGGGAGAAATATTTTCTGATGAACATATTGATTAAAGCCCGGTTCCTATATTCAACGAACGGTCGTTAGTTAGATTGTCATTACAAAGTCAAGTTACAACGAGTCGTTGTGTAAGATACGAAGCTACGTAACTAACGGCCGTTCGTTGAATATAGGAACCGGACATTAGTGAGCTTACCATTTGCTTGATGTTAATTGATATTGTTACCCATACATCTGTAGAGTTGCAGATGCGTTGCAAGTGGATGTCTTTCCAATAATCCTGCTTTAACCTTTCAGGCGTTGAAGTTGTCGAACTGGACCTTGACCCAGCGGATTGGTTTCCGGCGGAGCCCTACAAAATGGTGTTCAGCAGGAAGAAAAACCCCAAGTGGAAAAACTTCCCCTACAGATGTGAATATTGTTTTAAGGTATGTATGTATAAAGACAAGAAAATAGAATGTCCAGCTATGGGTTGTGTCACAATTGATTAAGATGATCAGAATGATCAATTCAAAGAGTTTAACCATCCATTTGCCAAACTCAAATGACATTTGAAAAGTCATTTGACAGTTGATTAGTTAACTTCTACTATGATCAGTGTTTCAGAAACCGGGCGTTAATAATATTGATACCTAAATACAACGGTTTCGCTTCGTGAGGTCATCGACCGCTTAGCTTAGTTGGTAAAGCGACTGGGCGCGAAACCAGAAGATGCGGGTTCGAATCCCGCAGCGCCGAAAGTTTCGGACCATTTATCTACAAAAATTTACAATTAAAAACAACGAGTTTATGTTTATTTTTGGCATGTTACTTGTTTCCCTGTATAATTTTTGGTAAAGACTTTTTGGGGACACTTCAGCATATCCAATACCTACTAATGACCAGCAATCCACATCTGTTCAGTACGTAAATGATTCTATAAAGTAATATTTTTTTTCTATTGTGAACTATTTATTTTTTAATAGTGAAATATCGATCCAAAAACATTCTATTCTGTTAACGTTGCAACAGTCAGGCGTTAGAGATAATCTTGCAAATTTAAGGTCAATTATAGCTCCAATTGTGATCGGCTAAATATTGTCAATAAATATCGAGATTTTCAATGCCACTATTGAATCAATCTAATATTTTAGGACACATTTCTAGACAACATTTTCTAGTTCCAAACTAAGCAACGCTTGAACTATGGCTACTATATAACTTATAAACATACCTAAACATACTTTTCTTTTGTAGATAAATACACATTATACATACATAAACACCCAGACACTAGAAAAACACTGTGCTCATCACACAATATTTTTCCAGTAGTGGGGATCGAACCCACACCCTCTGGCGCAGGAGGCAGGTACACTACCCACTACGCCATTCGGGTTGTCAAATATAAGTAGTAATATAAGTCTTTGGTCCAAAGATATAAATTTGCTTTAGTGAAAATTTTCAGAATTGGTTAAGAACTTCTTGAGATTACCCTTGAGATTATTATAATATAATGTGAAGCTAAAAGTTAGTAAGTCTCTACACTCAAAATAACGAAATAAGAAGACGCGGGTTCGAATCGAAGTTTTTGTTCATTTGTTTTCTTAAATACAAAAAAATCTTCTAAAAGAAATATATAATGAGATGATAATTCCGTATCACCAGGGCTACCGGGTGGTGTCAACGCTTTTGACCCACGCTGCAGAGAGGCACGGCACCGTGCCGAAGGACCTGGCAATCCCGTGCCCTTGCTGTCCACACGTCTCCACGCGTCGCAAGCACCACAAGAAGCACCTAGAGTCACACGAGGGCCGAAGGCATAGGATATTCTGCCTCTACTGCCTCCCACCAAGTAAGTCATGTCAGCCTGTTATTTGTGTAAATTATATCAATCTTCATGATGATTCTTAATCCGAACTTGGGTACTATCCACCGATTATAATCTGATGATTTGTGTACCACCAAACGGCAAATAAAATATGCTCAGTTAGAATTAAAATCTTTGTTAAATGTCCTTTTTTTATGTTAACAGATACCAAACGAGCAGACGGTTCATCTGATGTTAAGTGAATAACGCCGCCCATGGACATCTGCCACACCCGAGGGTTCCAGATGCGTTGACAACCTTTTGAAAGATTTGGCTCCGGCCACCTCACTCACCAGACGAAACGCGAAAGTATTATACTTCCACTTTCCGGTCTTCTGTGAGGTTGTGTTACTTATCCGGACGAGCCTGCCCATTCGTGCAACAGCCGAGGCTGCTGCGTGGCCCTACCACTGTTGAAACCTATTAAAACTTTGTTCTAATAGATATTGAGAAGACTTTCTGAGATGTTGGATTTCATATTTTAGATTGCAAGTTGAAATCCCATTTCCTATAACATGCTGATTTTTAATATGCAAAAATCATATTACATTTGCATCTAATGAACGGTGAAACCAAATATTCCGTAATTCATAGAAGTTTCCTTACATTAAAAAAAATGTTAATGTATTTTTTTATGTGAGAAGTTAGCAGGGGAAGGTGGTGGTTCACCTGATGATAAGTGATATCTACTGTTCATGGACATCTTCAACACAGTAGGGTTGCAGATGCTTTTTAATGAAGTAGGCCCCGATTACCTCACTCACCAGACGAAACGCCGAAATACAGCACTTCCACAAAACATCAGTTATCTATGAGGTTTTGGTACTTCCCTGGACTACCCCGCCCGTTTATGCAACAGCAAAGACTACTGTTGCTGAGCTGTGTGGCCCAACCACAGTAAAATTTATTATATTTTTTTAGAGACTTGTGTAGTGATTCTATCAGCGGCTCAAATAACTAGTTTTAATGCCACATTTATTTTATCCATTTATGGATGGTGTGCTTGATTCGAAAATTGATAGTTCAGATTTTTTGTCTCTCTTCCAAAGTACAAGACTTACTTTTACATGTTCTACAAAGCCGCTGTAATTATAATAAAATGTCAGTAAAAAACGGCCAGTTGACAGACTGACAGACAGAGGAGTATTATTAATAGGGACCCTAACCCTTTGCGTATGGAACCCTACTAACTAGCTGACTTACATTAATTTTTATATTTGTATTTTGAATTATTCTTCTTCACATTTTCTTACTGTTAGTCTTTATATTTTTTTAATTTATAACTTTCTCAAAACATATCGAATTATTTTCAAAAAATAACAATCTGTTAGTGGCGGTATGATTTCTTTATAAGGATAGTTTGTTATATTTATATGCTGTTATTTCCATTATCAATAAATAAATGTTTGTTTCACCTACAGGAGACAGCTCGGAGCCCTACGTGAAGGAGGCAGAGAAGTATCCGTTCGACAAGTACCCCCAGTTCTGGTATGCCTCCGAGGAGTCCCTGCGGCTGCACAAGAAGAGGAAACACCCGTATGCGGCCATGTTCAACTACAATTGGTTCTGCACGTGGGGTGAGAGCATCCCCAACAGCTAATTGCCCAACCAACCCACAGGATACGGCCATGTTTGGTATTTTATTATTTTAAAGCTGGCTACTTTCGCGTTGGGATGAGTATCTTGGGTAGTTTTAAAAAGTTTGAAGGTGTTTGAAAGTGGCAACACCGATTGTTATGTGGCAATTCAAGCGGCGTTTAGAAGTATTACTTGGAGTGACGGCAGCCAGAGCAAATTAACGTTTTCGGCGTGTTTTTGTTTAAAATCGTCGTTAAATCAATTTAATTTGTTTGATTGTACTTATGAATGCATGCAACAGTATACAGCATGCTAAGATGTTAATCGTTTTTCCCCCCCCTATATGTTGGATGCATCACATTGGTTATTATTTTTTTTTTTTGTATATATTTGCCCCTATGACGTTAATGATTGATTGTAAATTAAAATTAATGAAATCATGTTCGCACTGATAATCGATATGTGCCTTGTACGCTATGGATGGCGATTCGTTTTAATTATGATAAAGAACATTCCATATGATATCGAATGCAAATGAAACATCCGAATAATGGCGTGTTATATTTAGAAATTGTTGGAAAAAGCGTAATTAAATTAGGAAAATTAATTGAAAATATAACTATTTACATTAATGAACGATTCGATGTAGAATAATGACCATAAATGTATATTTGTGTTGCGTATTTATATTCGGATGGATCAACAAAATGGCGGCATTGCAATATGGATCAAATACTCTTTTCTTTTTTATGGCATTTAGTTTTGTGCCAATTATAGTGTATTGTTTAGTGAAAGTTCTTCAATTTTCCTGGTTGTAATATAATCAATTATTTACCTATACAATCAAATTGATACATTTAACGACTTCTGACCGCTATTTGTACCTGTTTACACGTATAGAGTAACGACGATAATGAATAAAATATTAATAAATGAAGATATTAAGAAACAAAATGAACAAATAAGTTTAGTGCTTAACTTGTAATGTGTATTGACTTAATCGCCTTTATGCTTGGGCGTAAAAAATGAAAAATAAAGAAGTCAAAATTAAAAACCTGTAGTTTCATCCTTTCGCGCGTTTTTTTTTTGACATGTCGAGTTCTGTCAAAGATTTTATTTGTGTATGTAAATAATTTGATCCATGTTTAATCGTCGCCACTAATCTAAAGTTCGATCACAAGGCTATTAATACGATATACTATATGAATAATTTTTATATGCCATTTTAGCTGTATACATACGAGATTAGTGATTTAGTGTAAATAAATAGTGTTTAGAGTTAACTGACGTACAAAAAGGAACGAGTATAGGTACCAGTATTTTTTATATGAATTTTTTGAATGCATTTACTAGGCTATTCGAATGTAAATTGAGACAATAGACCAAATGGATTGCAGTATTAATGTTTTTTTTATATAAATACTTTTTAAGTTACATTAATTTCCGATTATATACACATGGAATGCTTCTTAGTGTAAGATACCTGTATATGATACAAACTTGCGATTCCTTTAACTTTTCTGCCTGTCCGATGTAGGAACACAGGCTAGAACAGTGCAGAAAAGTGCATCCCACCTTAGATGCAATTTACACTACCCTGTAATAATTAATTATTGGATGCTTGTAAGGATTGCACGCTAACTCAATGACTTGAAAGCATTTATGCAATATCTTAAATAATTCGGATTATATCAGCGTTGACTTCGAAGAGGGACGAAGTTATGCAATTGACGATAGGCTTTGTTTCTTATAATTTTGAAGGTTACATTTATACAATTGTCTTCTAATAATCCAAAGGCGAGTACAATTTCTTTTTTAACTTATTGTAGGATATGGCAGCTATAAAGCGGGAAATCTTTGGGATTTATTTAGAGAAATAATCAAAGTAATATCAACATACTATCAATTAAAGATTGTGTATGACGTCTACAAATAATAAAATGAGGGAAAAAAATATTCAAGCGGCTTTTCATAAATTATATTAAATCGATCGATATGTTTTTTGATATTTATTCAGCATCGTCAAGTTGTGATAGATATGCGGTAGAAGGATTGAAGAAGTGGCGGTCGATGATGACTGATTGAAAAAAGTAAAAAAAAAATTAAGGACGATTAGGCTGTATAGAGAAATCCCAAGCCGTTTAACTAATAAAAATATAGGCAGTATGACCAACATAAAATACGAGATCAGTAAGCGTCACGACTCTTTCACACCCATGTCGCCCTGGTACTTTAGTAAAGCATGCCTGGGCATTTTTTCTTTCAAATTTAGAGTAATTTATTTTCTTATTGATTGAAACGTTTTTTTTTTTTTTTTTTGGGTTATTTATATTCATAAATGAAAATAACGAAACGAAAAAATAGAAAAAAATTACGCAGAAATAAATCACGTAACTCTAACATAAAAATAGGTCATAATTAGAAAAAAAAAAAAAAAAAATATATATATATATAAAATTAACTCGGTAAAAAAGAAATTCGAGTTTCGGTTAAAATATCGTGCAAAGGAAGTGTTTTGGGACCTGTTTTATGTTTAATAAATGTAAAAAAAATATCTAATGCTCCAACGTTTCCCCGCATAGTTCCTTATAATTCTTACGATTCGTTAATTCGTTATTTGTATGTTATTCGTGACGCGTATAAAATTTACTATGACACTAACCAACCATCGCTTATTTATAACCAACGACTATTTAATAAGATATTTTTAACACGCTTTTATTAGTTCTGTACTGTATACAAAAAGATTTTATGCGATTTTTCACGCGTTTAAAAAATGTTTTAGGAACTAGTTGTATTGTCAATGGCGTAACGTAAGGAAGAAAGTATTGTACATATTACAATACTATGTACAATACTTTCTTCCTTACGTTACGCCATTGACAATACAACAATTTCATAGTTATAGTTACGTAGTCAGTTAATTTTACTGTCAATTTGGCTTTCTTAAAATTAAAAAAAAAAACTGTTCCATGATAAAAACAGCATTCAAGAAAAGATCGATAATTTAAAACTGAAATGCAATATGACTTAATGACTTCCGTTTATGTGTTTGCCAATTTAGAAGAAAATATAATAATAATTTGTGATAAATTTATTTATGTATCTTGTTATCTTAATACGATAACGGATTATTTTTAATTGATAGGCGATTTCTAATTTAATTACGAACATTTATTGTAGATTGAATATAACACGTTTCTTTTGTTATTTCAATGTGTTAGTTTATCGATGTCTTGCGCGCGAAAATGAATCGTCATTGCGTAAAATGGAATAACTGGCATTAATGTGTGATGATATTTGGAAGGTTGATTTTTTCGTGAATCGTCGAGAAGGTTTCAAAATTTCTACTGATTTTCGAAAGTGGTAGATAGCAAGGGTCAGTAGCTAATCCCGTAAAAATTATGATAATGACAAAATCAATTGACAATTAGAGTTGACTACACATTCGTTTTTTATGACATGTTATATTAATTGCAAACGGTTCCGTTGACCGGATATTGTGGTGATATAATTTTGAACTAACTTAATAACTATCGATGACTCGAGTAATATACGCTTCAATGTCACCATAGTGTTCACGCGATAGATTCTTCTTGAGTCTTATAAAAGTAGACTGAGACGAGCCTTAACGACCTTATTATTGGTCCGAGCTATTGTAAATAAGTACCTAATATACAAATGATCTGTTCTACCGCTTTTCGTAATTAGCTAAGATTCCTGCGCAGAATACAGTTCAAACTCTCTGTGTCGAAAAACTGTGTGCTTTTTGGTAAAATGTATTTTTCAAACAGACTGTAAATTAATTTTGATGTTAATAACAGTACAGCCCTGCATATTCTGAAGGTTTTTTTTTTGTAGACATTTCATATTTTTCACCAGTTTGCCGCATCTTCAAACACTGGCGGACTGTCTTTGCGACAATTATTCTAAATGGGTAATTAAATATTTATTAGTAATTTTAATATTTATTAACAGATTTGTATTTATGCATCGACCAAACAAAAATGACACATGTTTAAATCGAGAATATCAGTAATAGTTTTTCTACATATTTTAATATCAGTAATATTCTGTACACTATGGTTATATATGAGCAATAATGTATCTGTTCCTCTCGTAGTGCCTGTGCTATATATAATGTTTTTCGTCGTGGGAGTCCGTTATCTAGTAAATAAATGTAGTACTCCATGATGTGAAAGAATAATAATACACAATGATTGCCCTCTAATGTATTTTAATAAAGTGCGTTTTGCAACAAATCAGACACGCTTTAAACTTAGATTGTGATGATACATTTAAATGTGTAAGGGTTCATTCTGGCAACACAATATTTTCTTAAGAGCGTTTACGAATGCCACGCATTGTATTTTTGTAGGAGTGTTGTATGTACATGCTTTAAAGTATATTGATTGGAGAGCGAAGTTTACTCGTATATACTTCATATTAGACGTTATTTGACACATCTTGTTAAGCCTAAATTGACTTATCCGTGCGGCCTTTTACTTGCTAAAATTATTTAATTGTAGCTAACGTTCGTTGGAAATTAAATCCTACGTAGTTGGAGCGAGAAAGGTCATGAAAACGCTATGGGTAAGAGCGAGACGGAATGATTAGATTGCCAACTGGCATATTTTATAATTGCAACTCGGAGTTACTGTAGTCTGTGTGCATGTAACTACATGGTTTTGCAAAATCGATTGATTTATCCCATGCAGCGCGGTTTTTCGATCGATTTACTAAAACTCTGTAGTTAATTGAAATATTAATGTCCGTGCAATTTGTATGATTTCTTTAAAGCATGTTTTTGTTAACTCGATGAATTTGGCCGTTTGATGATTTTGTAATTGTTTTGATTTCTTATCTGTCTAAACGAATTGGAACGTCTTTAGCGCGCGTAAAGCTATTGACTTTGACATTTGTGTGTTGTCGTTTTTCCAGGATTAAATTTGAATTACGTTTTGTACTTTTTGACGAAATTTTTAATGCCACCTATGGTAATGGTGTTCTGCTCTAAAATCGACGACCAAAAACTGTACCATAGACAAAAAAATATTTTCCGTATCCGAATGGTCAAATGGCCAATTTTACGATTCCCATAGACAATACTATGTTATATGTTATGTAAGTTTCGGCTTCGGCTTGAACAATAAGACTTCGAGAGAATACTCTAGTAATCCTTACACCTTATTGTAACCCTTCAGAATTAACTATGACGTGTAATTTTGTACGAGTATTATGTAAATAAAAAAAATCTTTTGTAATGTGTGTTCGTTTGATTTGACCAATGATATTATATATATTAATACGAATTAGGTATTATACAAGTGCACAGACAAGGAGCCACTGAAATTACGCCAATTGATGTAGTTAGATTGCAATTCAATTGACTGCCATCTCTTTCCGTATCATACGTTTTACATCATCTGTCACTTTCACTTGTTTCGATCACAAGTCACGCTTGAACAAGCGGCCTCAAAAAAAATGTGTTTTTAGAACTTTGTTGTATTTTTAGAAATTTAAATTGTTTATAGTGCTAATCTTTGCACTTAAGATTAAACATTAAAATATGTAGAAAAGTGCGAAAAGATTGTCGCCGTTGTGGGAATCGAACCCACGTCTTCGGCATTCGCGGCCTGACGCTCTAGCCACTGAGCTAAACGGCTGATTACCACACCGACGAAAATCTTAACGTATTCTTCTACATTGTTTTCTTAGCATTTGAAGCAATGCTTGGCGCCATCTATGTTATATCCTTTCCAGCATACAAACAATTTCGAATATCGTTTTACAACGATAATTCGAACGAGAGATGTCGCCATTGCTTTTTTTTTAGAAATTTAAATTGTTTATAGTGCTAATCTTTGCACTTAAGATTAAACATTAAACATTCGATTCCCACAGCGGCGACAATCTTTTCTCACTTTTTCTACATATTTTAATTTGTTGTATTTGTTTATTTCGAACGCTTTGAATTTACATATTAATTAACAATTTTTGGAGGCGTTGATAAACGAGGCGAGCGAGCATGGGGTTCATTTTAAATGATTACTGCCGCCCAGTATGTTACAGAAGCGTTGCCAAATTTTAAAAGTGGCGCATCAAGTTTTGTCTTAGGAAAAGAACCACGGCCACACAGAAGACCGGCGTGAAATGGAAGATGGAAGTGTTGCACTTCTGTTCTGCATTTCGTCTGATGTGTGAGGTTGCCAGGGCCTACGTGGCAACGTATCTGACACCCTACGTGTTGCAAAATGTCCATGGGTGGCGGTTATCACTTAACATGATACACTGACGGTGGTAGGGCCACGCAGCAGCCTCGGCTGTTGCACGAATGGGCAGGCCCGTCCGGGTAAGTACCACCAGTATGACAAATACTTTCGCGTTTCGTCTGGTGAGTGAGGTAGCCGGAGCCCAATTTTCAAAAGGTAAACGCATCTGTAACCTTCGGATGTAGCAGATGTCCATGGGCGGCGGTATTCAGTTACCATCAGATGAACCGTCTGCTCGCTTGCCCCTTTTTCACATAAAAAGTTTCACTTTATAGTGTGATGCAAAAGTACAATGTTTCCGCTTCCCGTTGGTCTTCGGCGAGGCCGTGGTACTTCCCCGGACGAGCTATCATGTGTCCTTAGCTTCTGTGCTAATCAGGATTTATACCCGCCCTTTTTAAAACAGCAAATTTAGAAATAATGAAAAGGTTTTTTAAATTTGGTTTTATATGTAAACACTGGCGCTGTAGACCGCGCAGTAGACCCTTTGGAATTTCCTTTCTATTTCCAATCCAATGGGCAGACTGTTAAATGTGAGTTTAATTCATAAATTAACTAATTATTCAGACTTTTGCGACCTGTGGACATCGATCGCTTACAACGTCAATGGCACAGGTTCGAATCCAGCAGAGATCAGAATTTATTTCACATTTAAATGACATCTGTCATCGCAGATGAGAACTATAATTAAAAAAAATCCTAAACAGAATTTTAAATTGAAAAACAGTTCAAACAGTTACCATTTATTAAATAACAGTCTAGAGTACTATAATTCCATACATGTTCATAAACTAGACAAGACAGACAAAAGATTAAATTGACTCATATTTGTGAGTAAAACAATGTAAGTAACGAGTACAGCAAAAGGTTAAAAATTATGTTACAATACAGACAGACACTTATTCCCTATAATATAATTAGATTGTATTAAGTCTTATACACATAAAGTTAAAATATCCTAAGTAAAAGCTATGTGCTCAGTATAAAACAATATATACATACCTTCCTAATTATTTTGACCAGAAATTTGGCGGGAAAACCATCTGTCACTTTGTAAAAAAATAAATTATTCTCATTACTAGACGAAAAACTTGTCACGAATTCCGAGTATTATGTAGGTATCATAAAAAAGTAGCTAATAAAAAAGTTACATAAAAATAGTGGCCGCTTCTATATCCAAAAAGCTTCTCGGGGCATCCTTCATAAATTAGAATTTTATATATATAACCCACTCCAACAATTTCCGTTATAAAAGTTACGGAAACAGTAACATGTGTCTGTTAAATCACTACTAATTTTATAACTGCGAGATAGAACTAGAAGTCGACGAGGGTCTTGAAATTTATTATCGTATAAATAATTTAATATTATTTTTTTTACATTAACTGTCTCGCCGATAATATTTTGTGTGCTTAATATTATAATGAATGTGGTAGCGTTTTTATCTATTATTAATTATCTTTGAGTGGAAAAATACTTTCCATTCTATCTGAAAAGTGGATGGGCATAAAATTCACAACTGATAAGCATTGATAGCGGCCTATTGACAACAGTTGTAAAAGAACGCTTTTATGATAGATTTTTTTATTATTTCACGAAAGGTTCTTCTTATACAAAACCTGTGAAAATCTAGCATAGGATAGAATAGAATAAATTTATTTGTCCGAATATGTTACAAAAGTTGTTGACAAAATATATATCAATAAGTAAAATCAATTCTATTTTATTTCATGCCCCGCAAGCATACATAGGTAGTGTGACGTCACATAGGTAATGTGTGACAGAGATAACGCTATACGAAACTAGCGATTGTCTCTTTCTAAAGGTCGATATTTATCGACTAACTCACTTCATATTTAGCTTTGGATTATTCCCGTTGTCAGTAATATGGGAGTACTGACGTCACGGGATTTAATGTTAGTATTCAGTTGGATGTTTGGACGGGGATTCAAGAGGCCATTTTGGCGGCAGCGGCGGCGGCTGCAGCGGCGGCCTTCTTCTTGACGGCCAGAGCGGTTCTCTGCTTCGCTTGGATCTTCGCCTTCTGGCTCTTTGAGAGCTTCCTCTTCTTTATCTCGATGGCGGCCGCTGTAAGGATAGTGGCGTGTAGGCATGCAGTGCATGAGGCGGACAATAAAAAAATACTGATATTGATTTCGATGTGTCGAAAAATGCTTCATGTTTTATATCTATATATCAAGCCTATTGCGCCAGAGAACGTGGGTTCGATCTCGAATTCGACGAATTACTGTGTGATGAACATACTGTTTTATAGTGTCAGTGCGTGTCTAGTATCTTTAATATGTAGGTACCAGGTATCCATAATGCAAGCTTTGGTTAGTTTTTTTTAGTTAAAATATAAAAGGTCTCTTAGTTAAAATATGTCCAGTAGTACGACAAAGAAAGATGAAAGAATAGTAAGGGTGTAGTTTTCGAATGGGAAGACATAAGAATAAAAGAGATTTTTGACAAAGTATACAATGTATGTATTGTAAGAACCTCTATGCGTTGTTAGGATGTTGAAATTCTTTAAATAATGTTTTTTCTAAAGGGAACAGAGAAGAATGAGAAAGATGTTTCAGTACACAGGTACAGCGTAACCTGTTCTCGACGAAGAAGTAGAATTCCCTTGTGGATCCTGTTCGAGGGAGAAAGCAGTAGAGTAAGAAAGAGAGGCGAAGTTGTACCGGCGTTAAAGGCGTGTCTTTCGGCCGCGGTGCGAGCAAGCTCGCCGAGCGTGTTGGCGAGCGCCGCGCCGAGCCGAGAGCAATCGGACCGCGTGGCCGAATGCGCGCGCAATGCCAATGTTGCTAGCCTAAATAAACAAAATCATCATTGTTATGTTTATAATAGAGGGTAAATGCTACTCGACTGTCAACCACCAGTCGGTCCATAAACGTCGTAAGAACTGCCACAAATGTTTGATATAATCCCACGTATATACTAATCATGTTATTTTTTGGTGCTCAATAAGGTAACGTCACTACGCTAAAAATCAGCGTTGACCACCTAGTGTTCATAACACTACGCGGGTCACACTGAAAGTTCTTTTTTTTGTGTGAGAAGGTGGCAAATGAGCTGGCGGTTCACCTGATGCTAAGTGACAACCGCCGCCCATTGAAATTTGCAACATTTGCTAGCATAATTATAGTATATAGACGCAGCCTTTGATGGTAAGTGCGCTAGCTGAGTAAAAACCTTTTCACTCTTGCCTTGAAGACGCCTACGTTATAGACGGACGCCGGAACGTTGTTCCATTCCTTAGCTGTACGGATGATAAATGACGACGCGAATCGCTTTTTTCTTGTGACTTGTCAAACGATTCTGGCCTAAATGCGTAACGTAAAGGACCTCACCTGCCCGCCAGGTCTTGCTGCTCCTTGTCTAGGTCACAGGCGAGGGTCGTGCCGTTCCTGCCCTTGACGACCAGCGGCATCTGCGACCAATGAAACTGTATGAGAACACACGCGTTCTTTGAGTGACTCAAAGAACGCGTGTGTTCAAGGGCGGATCCAGGTCATGGGGGTCATGACCCCCCCCTGGGCTGGTCCAGGACCTAGGTGGACCACTAATTAAAATTGTTAAACATAATGTTTTACATATTTTTTGCCTTTTTTATGATTTACCTTCAATGTTTAATTAATTTAATATAATACTTTTAACCGACTTCAAAAGGAGGAGTTTCTGGATTCGATTGGTATATTTTTTTTCGATGTATGCACCTCGATTACGTTGAGATTTATGATCCGATTTACGTGATTCTTCTTAAGTTTGATGCAGAATAGTTGTCTTTTGGTCCCATAAAAATTGAACATAGTTTGGCCAAGTAGTTTTCATTTTATGAACATTTTTACAATCTTTTAATGTTTGTCATCAAATCTTGCAAATTAAATTTGATCCACCTCCCGGTTACCGGTAGAGCTGAAATTTTGTATACATGTGTAAATCGCAAGATATTAAAATATGATTATGACGTGGTGCTGATCTGATGATGGAGCTGGAAGGTGGCCAAAGGAATTTCGCAATGAAATGACAGAGCCTCATCGCGTTTGGAAACATTTGAATCGTATTGACGAGTAGTTTGTCTTTCATTGGTAACCAGGATCTGATGATAGAGCTCCATCTTCAGCAGTCCATGGACATATGCATAGGGTTGTAGATGCGTTTCCTCCTTATAATAAAGTGGGCCCCGGCTGCGTAACTCACCAGAAAAAACACAGAAGTACTTTACGCCGGTCTTCTGTGAGGTCTATGAGGCTATTCTGTAAGGTTCCTCTGTAATGAAACGACTCAATCCCATCGAGTCTCGGCTCGTTTGATTCGTCTTGGCGAGTACTTTATTTTTAGATGGTTTCCAGGGTCTGACCTGATGATGGAGCTGGAAGGTATGCAACCCAATTGTGTCTCGGCTCGTTTGATTCGTCTTGACGAGTTCTTTGGTGCTGGATGGTAACCAGGGTCTAATGACAGAGCTGGACTGTGGCCATAGGAGCTCAGCAATTAAGGAACACAACTGCTGTTTGATTCGTCTTGATCTCGTTTTTGATGGGTGGTGAGCGTTGGTGATTTCATGGATGTGAGTATGCAACCCCATCTTTGGGAAATAAAGTTTGTTCGTTCCGTTTGTTATGAATGTGGATTTTGTCTTTGATTAGATGGATTATATGGATAAGCGCTGAATATTATGAATGAATGAATTGATGACTGAATAAATATTTTTTTTGTTATTTATGAACATTTTTTTAACGTGGACGATGTAATTTTAGTTTGTGTACGGTTATTTTAGGACTTTTCATTTGGGTTGATTGTATATTATTATTTACCCGTGTCCCGACAAGTGATCTTAGGCTACTTGTCATTAAAGTGGAGCCAGCGTGCGGAGTAGAGAAATTGAAAAATATTATAACCAATACGACTTCATAAAATCTGGTACCGAAGAAATAAATAAAAAGAAATTTCAAAAATAAGTAAGCCTACCAATAGCTACTTAAAAAAATACTATTTAATATATGACATAAGAAGCAACGAAATGTTATATATAGTTTACCTGATGTAATCTAGAAAAATCCTACTGTAGTTTATAGAACAACCGATTGCAGACATTAAAATAAAAAATAAAAAAACTACGTTTAAAAAAAACGACTCAAAAACTAAAAGGTATAAAATAACCTTTAATATTAATAAAATACGACTTCAAACCTATCAATAAGTAGCACATAACTTGTATGTGCTATTTATTGAAAGGTTTACGTAATTTACGTAAGTACTTACTTCTACAAGTACTTTATTAAATTATTTTGTACCTTTTAGTTTTTGAAGTCGGTCCTTTTAAACGTAGTTTATTTTTTATTTTTGTATGATTACAAACGCATTATTCGGGAACGAACGCATCGAAAATTTGGATAGTACCGCGCCACCCCCACCTTTCATCTGATGTCACATTTCGTGTTACACTTACACTGACACTTCGTGACACAAAGAAATTTGGGATATGATAATCTTGGTTGAAGTTTTAAAAATAAAAAAATCTTCAATTCAAAACTATTGCGCGACACAAAATCATTGCGTTTTATCAACGAGCGTTTACAACAACAAAATAGTAATATTAATGATCTACCTACTACTTTTTACTATATATGCCTTTTATAGATTTTTAAAAGCTATAAAATATTAAAAAAGCTAAAACCGTTTTGCTTGTTTTAACTCTATACCTAGAGTATTGCTTAATAGGTATACCTAATAACTATTCGATTTACTACTTTTTTCCGTTAAACGTGCTAATTGCCGCGACTACTAATACTTAATAATTTTGAACAAAAAAAAAACCGACTTCAAACAGTAAACTAAAAACATTGTCAACACCTATGACATTCGAGGATTGCCCTTGATTTCTCTCGGATGCCATGTCCAGATTCGGGTTTCCTAAACATGGTGCCATCCTTGAGATATCTCCTTTCCAACAAAAAAAGAATCATCAAAATCGGTTCATAAATGACGAAGTTATCGGCGAACACACATAAAAAAAAATATTCACGGTTGAATTGAGAAACCTCCTTCTTTTTGAAATCGGTTAAAAATGAATCTGCTCCTTTAATTTAATGGTGGGATTTCTGGTAACTAACTTTAACAGATAACGCGTTTCGGGAGAAGACGTATAACAAAAATTTATTTTGTAATTTAAAGATAGGTATTTTCAATAACAATAAGTACTTACATACATCAATATAAAAAGTTTTTTACCCAAATAAGAACCGACTTCAAGTTAGACCCGAACATACATAAAAAAATATATACATCCGAATTGATAACCTCCTTCTTTTTGAAGTCTGTTAAAAATACCTACTTTTTACTTTTATTTATGATTATAAAAATTAAATTATAACTTCTTATCACTTGAACAAGACTATGTGACCCCCCCTGGCACCAAAGCTGGATCCGCCCTTGCTTGAAATCTTTTAACCTTCACTACATAGTATAAAATAAAGTCGCGCGCTGTCTGTCCTTTTGTATGCTTAGATCTTTAAAACTACGCAACGGAGATATTTCGGAAGTATGTGAAGTTCACCAATCCGTAGTGGGGTCGCGTAATGGACTATGCCCTAATACCCGATGTACAGAAGAGGCCACTGCCTTACTACTATATATTTATTTTGACACTTCATGCGTGGAAAAGCGCGCCAAAACCAGATTTTTATCTGATCTATTTAGGCAATGACCGCGAGCCTTTTCGCCGTAATATAACCATATATTTAATGAAACATCTATTTTTTTCTGTTTCGACTTATTTCATGTCTTGTATTGACATAGATTATAATAAGTATAACGTACGCGGCGCGTCAAAACATTTTTTTTTGTTGTTCACACACAACTTAAACCAAAAGTACAAAGACGTTTCTTCCAGCAAACACTTGAAAATGTCATTGCCGTAAAGGAATCACATTAGACATCGCCAAGCATTGTTACAAATGCAATAAAAACAAAATGACTTCGCGGTGCAGTCGCCGAGGCTCCTGGGTTCGATTCCCACACGTGAACACTATTTGTTTGACTCTGGGTTCGATTCTCACACGGGACCATTATCTGGGTGCCCCCAAGTAATTGTTTCCAAGTAGTTGTCATGTAAAACGTCCTTACAACACAGAATAATGTTATCCTTCAGTAAAAAAAACCGGCTGTTTTAAAAAAAACCGGCAAAGTGCAAGTAGGACTCGCCCACGAAGGGTTCCGTAACATTATCTATAAAAACGGCGAAAAAATCATATCTGTTGTATGGGAGCCGAACTGAAATATTCTTTATTCTGCTTTTTAGTATTTGTTGTTATAGCGGCAACAGAAATACATCATCTGTGAAAGTTTCAACCGCCTAATTATCACGGTTCATGAGATACAGCTTGGTGACAGACGGATAGAAGAAAAGCGGAATCTTAGTCATAGGGTCCGGTTTTACCATTTGGGTAGAAAATATAATCGAGAATGTCACCCAGTGAGGATGTCGACTACTTAGCTTAGTGGTTAGAGCCGCTGGTTCGAATCCTTTCAGCCGCGAAAAATTTTGCGACAGTTTTTTCTATCTTGAAGTCAGGAAATCATATTATTGCTTCTTATGTTGTAAGGTAAAGGTACATTAATATAAAGCTTACTAAAGCCTACATACAGCCATTGCCGGACTACTCATATCTGCTTCAGCCGTAGTTTTATGAGTAAAACTTATTAAATAAGTAAAAGTGTTAAATTGTTTTTTTACCATTTTATACTTAAGAACCAATAGGAGATAAAGGGTTGTTTGCAAGAATTTGCTACGGGCCCTGCGATTGCTTAATACGGCACTGCATAAAGGTAACAGATAAAATATAGGATCTTCGTACAGTCATATAAAGACAGTTTTGTTATTTTTTTTACCTTGTAGCTTTGTGGGCAAATGCCGAAGAGGTAGCGCTCCAGCGTGAGTTTGAACTCGTCGGCAAACATTAGAGCTGCTCCGTCGCTCATCTGCACAGATAACACATAGATTTATTTATAGACACTTTAAGAGTACAAATCTATATATATTTATATTTTAAATTAAGTACACTCCTATTGATTTATCCTTTGCCTTGAAATTTTGAATGAGGAAGTGTTAACATTTTTTTCCAATGGATCAATTTATTAATTTTAGAAAAACAATCTAAAAGTAAAATAAAAAAGTATAGTAACAGCCTGTACATATCCCACTGCTTGGCAAAGGCCTCCTCTCTACAGACTTTATTGATTTATTTATTTGTCAATACACAAGATATGATTTATGATGGTTCAATTATAATTGGGTATCACTTTTCAGGGCATAGACCACCACGCGGTCCCACTGCGGATTGGCGGACTTTACATATCTTCGAAACAGGTTTTTTGTTATTATTTCGAAAATATGCAGGTTTCCTCACGATGTTTTCCTTCACCGCTGAGCACGTGACAATTCAGCACCTAAAATTGACAATTTCGTTGGTGCTGGGACAGGGGATCGAACTCAGGTTGCTCGAGTATATTGAATTAAAGGCGGGCGCCCGGCCACTAAGCTATCACGGCTGAGAAAAACATTCTATACTATGCTCAGTTTCATTTTTATTATATAACTGGGTAAGTTAAATGATTAATTACTGTATAAATAATTACACGTGAGAAATAAGAACACACTAAATCAAAATAATTTTATGCGAAATCCTTTTCCCATATGTTTACAAAAGACGAAGTAAATCTCGTTTCGCGCCACATAATTAATGGCGGTCGATGACGCGGAATTGCAAACAAACGTTAAAAGAAATCTGTTTTCGCATTCGGCGAAAGCGAGTTTTAATTTATTGCAGTTCTTTTTATTGGGCGCAGTTAGTTTTATCTGTTTAATGTTGAATGGTTATTTGTTCTTAAATTTTTGAGATTATGTATCGGTGAGGTTGTATATTACGTCGTACTGTCATAGCAAAATGGCAACGTACAATATATCATAACGATATATACATTATGACCAACGAAATGTTGTATTTACCATTACATTAATAATCAATGTGCTTTTTATTTAATAAAATAAAACGAATAGAAGTAAGAACGATCTAAAAGTAGTTTCTTTTTTATGTTCTTTTTGAATGCAACGTCAGCAGTACACATAACAGGTTACCGTCAGCAAAAAATCGGAACAAAATTTATTGTACGAAGTTTAAACCACTAGACGCTATATAGATACTTATAGTTTCATTTGTAAGATTGACAAAAGAGAGAATAGTGGAAAATAACGTGGTCTAATGTTTTAATTAACTCTATCTCTACCACAGAAAAATATAATATAATGTTGAATTGCATCTTATTTTCCGTTATAATGCTTTTGTTCGAGTACAAGTATATTAAATTATAAGATTTTCGATAATAATCCAGATACTACGGATATGTTGTTAATGGGCCAAGGAGTGAAGCCACAAAAACGTCCCAATTGGGATGTTTTCATAGCTTCACTCCGGGCGCGATTTCTCTATTTTCTCTATTCCGTGGTTCAAGAAAACTTTTCAAATATTAATTCTTCTTCTTTCTTCAGTACTTCCAATCGAAGTAGTCTGATAGCGTCAGTGTGAATTGAATTGATAAAATATTTGAGAAAAAAATTTAAAGACAAACCAAATAATAGCGTGAATACGTTCCAAGAAGACATTAATCATCATAACATATTAATGATTTCAATGAGCCCATTAATAACGGTATTAAGTTGTTTTCAATACGAGAGTTTATTGTAATCTCAAGATCTGTCAATCTAACGTCCGAATATCTCATTAAAAATGGCGGTATAACTATTGATGAATTGTCTGTATGGAGAAATCCCAAGACCATTATTTTTGGTAGACAATTGACATTACCATTTCATATCACGAAAACTTCGTGAAAGCCGAAACAGATAAGAAGACGAAGTATCTGTACCTGGCTTGTGAGACGACTGGGACTCCGGGATGGACTGATCCGAGCTCAAATTCAGAAGGCGGTGCTCCTCGATATCGATGGATATGATCGTCCGCCGGTTTCCCTCGCTTTCGCCCTAACCCTCGGCCGTTTGGTCTCCCCTGCCAAAGCCCTCGAGCTTCTGCCTGGTTGGGTCCTATTTATATTTTATAGACAATATATTATGTATATTTTAATTTATAGACCCAACCAGATGAGAAAATAAATAAATATCTCCCATAATAAGAATATCTCATTCTGGTCCAGAACACTTGAGCTTCACTCCATTTTTGTGTAATATTTGTCTATGGATATTTTAACGTGGATTTTCTATATAATTAGACAATTAATCGTAGAACAATTAAAGTAGAAGTGATATGGTATATCAAAGACTAACACACCATATTAATAACGTTGTGTAAAAATATTTCGAGAATTTATTTAAAATATTGTCTATGGCCAAAACCAAGCTATGTTGGTTTGTATCACGAAGCGACTATGAACAATGATGTAAATTACTCTGGTTTATCTCATAAAATTGAAACGTTTCAAACATAGTTAATAAAACAAATAAAAGCAATAAATGTTTATGTTCTTTGGATCAGGCGCGTAGTTGCGAATTTCTTAGAACAGTTCTTGCACGAAAAGCTGAAATTACAGCAATCTTTGCTATCAATAAAAATATTCTGTATTGGGTTGTTAACTGATTACGGTTAGATTAATTTAATGTTAACAAACATCAAAAATATTTACCAACGAGGCAGGTTACGGAAATGACAGAATTGATATTTTCTCGTATTATTAATAAATTTCACAAAATTAATAAAATTATTAATAAATTTGAAACGTTTACGTGTTCATAGTCGCTTCGTGATACAAACCAACATAGCTTGGTTTTGGCCATAGACAATATTTTAAATAAATTCTCGAAATATTTTTACACAACGTTATTAATATGCAACTAATTGCAATATTATTAATATGTGAGGTGGCCGGAGCCCAATTTCCAAAAAGGTTTTCAACGCATCTTTAACCCTCGGGTGTAGCAGATGTCCATGGGCGGCGGTATTCACTTAACATCAGGTGAATCATCTGCTCGTTTGGCAAGTTTTCACATAGAAAAAAAATGCTGTTTACCTCAAAGGTACAGATTTGTCCTGTGTAAAGGGTATTTGTTGGTAGGTGAGTCAACCACTGCGGTAGGGCCAGCTAATACTACTGCACGGATAGTAAGGTTTATGGGAGTACTATGGCCGTACAGAACACTGGCGTGAAGTGGACGTGTTATACTTCTGCGTCTCGTCCGAGTGAGGTAGCCGGGGCCTACTTTATTACAGGGTGGCTCCGATCTACGGGTGTTGCAAATGTCAACGGGCGGCGGTTATCACTTAACGTCAGGTGAACCGTCAGCTCGCCAAGTTCGATCGGACTCGCCCACGAAGGGTCCCGTATCATTATCTATAAAAACGCCAAAAAAATTGTCACTGTGAAAATGTCAACTGTCAAACTATTACGGTTAATGCAATACAGCCTGGTGACAGACGGACTGAAAGACAGACTGACAGATATACAAACAGCGGAGTCTTAGTAATAGTGTCCCGTTTTACCCTTCGGGTACGGAACCCTAAAAATGTATGCTAAGGTAAATCAAAGGCTGAAATTAATGGATCACGTTGATTTAACATTTTAGTTGTATTTTTAATTTTGTCGATTTATAATCGTTGCAAATACACTCGCCGATTACATAGAAAACAAACAAACACTCGGACCGCTGAGTCAGCGTGTTAATTTCGCTAAAGTTCGAGTGCGTAAAAGCGTCTGGAGCTGTTCCAATAACATATTAATGGATCCAGTGCGTTCATAATAGATTTCATATGTGCGATTATATGCATGTATAACACGAATGTTTAAAATTCAAGCACCTCCCTCCGTTAAAACTCAAGCAATTCTTGAGCTTGACATTTGATCGTAAATTCCGTCTGAAGCGGCTACAGAGGAATTGGCCACCACAATTCACGTCACCAGGCGAAGAGCTGTGGTGGTTATACACCTCGTCCCCGGTATAATCTCTGCGGAGTGGCATCAGCTTACAGCAGTTTGATGCTATTTAGACGGCTCTGTAAGCACCCTTAATTGTACCCTTAGCTTGTAGCTTGGACGTAGCACCTCTGTGTGCTGGTTTGCGCTACGGTACATATTGAGAGGTCGTAGAATGACGTACTCAGATTTTGCGAGGAGGCGTTTTATCTAGAAGAAGGCCGTAAGGGGAGACATCGAGCCGAAATCCAGGTTCACTGGCGTTCCTTGTGAGAGGAAAGCGGAAATCTTCATCAAGTAGGGTCATCTTTTTGATAGATAAACATTGCCCAAAACTCTTTTCGTCGTTTTTTTACAACAGACAAGGGATACCTTAGCCCTAGCATATTTACTTTGGCATCACAGGCTGGTGAAAATTATATGTATTTATCTATATCTGTGCAATAATAATAAAGACTAGGATGATTTAGGGTCGGAATATACGGATACCTCCAAAGGAAAATAGGAACCATTTAGGACCACTTCGTCGTCTGTCTGTCTGTCTGTCAAACCCGTTCTTTTAGGAACACGTGGAGGTATAAATCTTATCCTTTAAACGAGCGGTCCTCCGGGTACTGTACATAATTATACAAAAATGCACGGCTTTTCCAGGATTACTTATTACAGGATGTTATACATTGAGAAACCTAAGCATCAATTTCATAATGAATGATTTTGAAGGATTTTTTCCTAAACAGATTAGTTTAGAAAATTCCGTTAAAAGAAAATAACTTTTACGAAATAAGCCGTTTTGAATATATTTTTATAATAGACGTCGCTGGACGATTAAGCTCATTACAATTTTGACAGCTTCCTTTTCCCGCCCATTTGCGAAAGACAACGCCTTTGAAGTTTCCACAGATAAATAAGAAACGCGCGAAATAGCACTGCATGTTAAATGAAATTTAAAATATTTATTACCCAGATAAAAAATTGATATTTCTAAGAAAACGAAAGTTATA